GCGTGCAAAAAGCTTTCCACTAGTTGTCTAGTCTATGTGTTCTCTGGTTAGTGGTGATAGTAAGTACGTTCCGATTCATTTAGCTCTTTGGCAAAAAAAGAAAATGCTAATATTTATCGATTTTAGATTGGCGCGAAAAATAAATCGAATTTATTTACAAATCAACTACATAAATATAAACAAATTTTAAGGTATTACATATGTTTTAAAACAAAAAACCTGAGATTCTTACATGAAATAGACTAACAAATAACATAAAAAACCTAAAATAAAAAATAAAATAAACCGTAACTAATATACATATACAGAAATTTGGATCTGTTTGCACGCGCAGCATAAAATCTGCGAATGAAAAGTTCAAATTTTACATTCGGCTGTTGCCTTCGAGTCCACTTTGTACATTTGTTTCAGGTTGACAGCGAAACGCAATGTAAAGTGGTATACCACCTCCACGAGGCTTAGTATTGAGAAACCCATAAAGAGACCAAAGATGCCACCGCAATTGGCCAAAAATTCGGTTACGCCGTACAGTTCGGAACGTCTAGAGGTGATGAACTGATTCTGCTTGAAGAAAATGGATAGCCTAGACATCTGAGAGCCGGGATAGTCGCGCAAGAACTCGGTGTCTCCTTCGGCCGCCAGCATTTCATGCAAATCGAAGTTCGCCTGCGAAGTCTCCGCATTGTATACGAGCGAAGTGCAGGCGGGCATGCAGTTGCATGCCGTCTCCAGGGGTCTGGTGTCCGTTGACGCGTCTTTTGAATTTAGCCTGCGAACGCGGTGAAACTCGCGCACCAACAGCTCGCGCTCGGCCATGTGGTAGCAATGGATTTTGTTCTCGCTGCAGACCGGCATGTCCAGACTGCGGGGCATCGAGAACTTGACACAGCCGCACTTGGCCATCGTAAAGTTGGACAGGCACTCCAGTTCGCAGTTGGACTCGGAGTAAACCTTGAAGAAGCGCAGCGGACGCTCGTGGCCGAGGTAGCACTGTCGCCGCTGCGGATCATACTCGGCAATGCCCTCGGACATGGTTATCATGCTTGGCTTTACGGCTACCAGCACTTCTCGACCCATGGGGATGCGGACGAACTGCTTGGACACTTGCGGCACGTCGTCCGGTGCGTGCAGCAACACCTTGAAGCCCTGCACGGGTCCGCGGCAGGCGTAGTCCACCTCCTGCTCAAAGCTCTGCAATGTCATGAAGATGCCCGAGCGTGCGCCAGCGCTGAGCACACGAGCTGGATATGTCTCCACATCGCATGACGCATCGTAGCCCTTGTCCAGGCTCCACTTCGACTCAGACACGTTCTCGGCGGATTGGTGATACTGGTAGGTGCCCTTCCGATAGATATCCGTGGGTCGCAGACCATTGAACGTGTAGCAGATTCCCTCCTCGGTCAGCGTTGGCCGTAAGTACTTGTCGCACTCGTTGAAGCGGCTCAGCCAGCGGCAGTAGAAGAAGTAACGGTTGAATGGCGGCAACATGCTCTCCAGCACCTTGGCGTAGTCCAGCTCATCACCAGGAATCAGTGGCATGTCCTGCTGGATGCTGTGCGTGTTGCACACGTGGAGCATCGTACGAAACTCTTCCAATTCCTTGGACGTAACATTTGGTGGCTGGAAAACATGTGAGTTATGCTTCTCCGCCGTGTACTGACTGAAGAGATTCGCAAACGTATTGTTGCTCTGTGATTGAAGCACGCGCTTCGTCTCCGAGCAAATGGTGACGGCGGGGAAGGGTATACTCCACACGGGTGTCGATCTCTCCGCGAAGCTCACGATCACCGGCGTCTCGTTCCACTTGTTGTAGGTGCTCATGATCAGCGTGGCACAACAGCAGATGGACAGTACGAACGCACATAGCCAAAAAATACGATCTTTCGTCGCCCGCTTCTCCTCGCCCAGGTACTGCACGCCGTGCAGAGAGCTGTGCTGGAAGTAATCTTTGTACGTGATCATAAAGCTTTGGCAGATCACCTTTCCAGTCGCTCGCTTCGGCGTTTTCTTAATTTTTTTTCTTGTGTTCACGCCGCTGTCGCTGCCTTCCATGTCGCATTCGAATAAAGTTGCGGGTGATTTGGTTTCAAAGTCTTTAGTCCGTACAAACATTGTTTAAACAAAAGTTGACGCAGCTAATCTTGCTCAAAAACTATATGTATGTATGTACATATACACATACATAAATTGAGGCGAATGCCGTTACGAGCCAAGTGCCGTTACTTTTAACTAACATGTGCTCTTTCCCATTATTCGTCGCTTTAGGACCAGTACGTTGATCGTAAAAGCGATATAGAGGCAATTGGCTTGAGAAAGGCAGAGAGAGTGAATGCAAAAGGCGAGCTTCATGTGGCTAATTGATCAATTTATATTAAATATTCTCGTTTGGCGAAATAAATGAACGTTTTACATTTATTTAATAGGATATGTATCTATTTTATTATAATATAGTCAGTTCGGGTATTACACACGAATGCACATGCATGTTATGTATTCTAACGATAGCAACTAATCTATGTATATATATTGAGCACATTTAGTTTCTAAAACTCTTGGCGGCAAAATTAATATAAGTTTAAATTTAAAATCTGTTTTTATTATTTAGTATATTTCCAATATGCACAATAATAATACCAGCATAGGCAGCAGCGAAAATACTAAAACAAGCTGGCCACTCTTGTTTGCATGCGGTCATACTTTTGTTTACGTTTTGTTATCTTATTTCTGTTACAGTGTTGTTACAATTGAGGGCAATGTTGTTGTAGTCTGCGCGCATACAGTGGTGGTAAGATGAAGGTCCACTGAACAGCTGATTTGCAAGCATTTAAAATTATCGATAGCAAGAACACAACGACGCAGCAGCAGCACGAACCACCAGCGCAGCGCAGTGACTATAGCAGCGAATATTATGCGAAACAGGAAATCTATAAAAAAGTAGAGCAGCAGCAGCAGGCGCAGCAGCCGTTGGGGCGGGGTAAGCAGCGGGATCAGCAGCATGGAACCTCCAGCGCACGTTACCGCAACGGCGGGCATTGTAAGTGGCGAAATCTCGTCGGATGCTGAGCAAGACAGCCAAGTGACAACGGCGCATAATAATGATGAGCAAGCGGATAATGGCGAAGGTGATGATGATGAAGATGATGACGATGATGACGACAATGATGTCGATGATGACGATGATGATGATGCCAAGGATGCTTATTATGAGGCGCGCAATGGCAATGAAAGCGACGAACTTGAAACGGCATTCGAAAGTGCATTGACTCTGGCCAGTGACGTCAGAGTGAGCGTCAGTGACGCAGATGCCGAAATCATAGGCGAGAGCAATGGACCGAGCGCGGATCAACAGCCGGACACTGAGCAACTGCAGCAGCTGGAACAAGATGCGGTCGGCGATGTTCTGATGCGCAAAAAGCTCAATCAGAGTAAGCAAATCTTTCAATCAATCTCACTTTTTGCTAAATTCTTGGGTTTATCTCTCTAAGCAGCTCCAGAGATGAACAACGAAATCAACGATCCGCCAGTAGAAGCAGCGTCATCTTCAACGGTTGCTACCAACGGCGAATTGGCCAGGCCCCGCAATCAACACCAGGCGCTGCTCTCGACCAAATCCTGCGAGACGCCCGGCAGCACGACATTGGGATCGGCATCGGCAACTGGAGCTGCTCTGTCGCCCAGCAGCTCCTGCAACGGCAGCATCGGCAGCGATGGCGGCTGCAGCGTGGGCGGCGGTGCCCGTCGCAAATCCTGGACGCTCTCGCCCCAGAACGGTGTCTGCAAGAAGAAGAGCAAGCCGATTGCCATGTCCAGCGCGACGACAGCGAATGGGGATAGCTTCAACTTGTGGGTGGCGCGCGAGTGCTTCGAAACGGTGCCCGCCGAGATGGTGGACACATTGAGTGTGGCGGAGCTGCGCGAGCAGCAGAACGAGGAGTCGCTCGGGCAGGAGGAGGACGAGGACGACGACGACGTGGACGAAGAAGCAGCCGCTGTCGAGAGTCTACTGGGCGCCGCAGCAGCGCTGCAGGCCAGCGCCTACCTGGGCAGCGGAGCGCATGGCCGGCAGAAGCATTTGCGCCAGCCGCCGGCGCAGCATCGTCCGCTGGAGCGCTCGTGGCCGCCACGTGCCGTTGGGCGGGAGCTGAAGCTGCAGGGCGATGTCTTCAAGTTCGACATACTGGACACGGACGAGCGCATGCCTGGCGAGGATGTGCCCAGCTACAGTGGCGCCAGCAACTCGCCGCTGCGCCTCCTCGGCCAGCCGGAGGCCAGTCCGCCGCCGATGCGCTTCAAGCCGCTGATCCAGAAGAAGATCGGGCCCGACAGCTACATCAACACGATCAGCACGCAGAAGGTGCCCGCCCACATGACCTACGAGTTTCCCACATTCCCCCTGCAGGAGCAGCACGGCAGCAGCGCCAGCGGCAGCTCGAACTCCAATTCGAATTCGAACTCGAATGGCCTCGGTGCTCATCACTTTCCCTATCTGCGTCAGCACCGTCCCTTGACCCGCGCCCTGTCCAACGGCAAGGCCGCCGGCTCAGGATCAGCGGCGGGCAGCGATGAGTCCTACCACTTGGCCAGCAGCAGCAGCAACAACTCGCCTCGACTGCTGCTCTCGCCCAAGCTGCAGCGCAGCCCGCCCTCGGGCTGCTCCACGCGCAGCGTCTCGCCGCTGGATCTCAGCCTCAGTCCCGAGTCGCAGCATTCGCCCACGCGCGGGCGTGGCGTGGGCGGGTTGGAGGCCATCTTACCACTGCCTTTGGCGCCGCCGCCGCCCCTCGGCACGCCCACTTTTCATGCACAACGGCCACAGCAGCGGCTGCTGAAGCGCGTGGGCGGCGGTGGCGGTGGCGGTGGCAGTGCGGCGGCAGCCTCTGGTGCTGCTGGTGGATTGGTTTGCCCGCCCACGCCCACACATCACGCGCGCCGGCATGCGCGTCTGCAGGCCGTCACTGCCAATTCCGCTTCGGCCGCAGCAGCAGCAGCATCGGGAGCAGCGGAGCCCAACTCTAGTCAATTGCAGACGCCGCCCGGTTCGCCGGCCGGCGCTGGCGGAGCACATGGAGCAGATGTGGACGACAGCACGGAAGTGCTGCACATCAGCAGCACTCGCCTGCCCTCCATACCGGAGCGCAGTGCGGCAGCAGCGGCGGCGGCGGCAGCTGCAGCGGCTGCCGCTGGCGCTGGCATCATGGAGAGCGCGGGCGGCGGTGGCGGCTGCGGCGCCATGGCGGAGGCACCGCTGCCGCCTGCCTGGGAGGCGCGCATGGACAGCCACGGGCGCATATTCTACATTGATCACACCACACGGACCACATCCTGGCAGCGGCCAGGTCCGAGCACGGGTCCCGGCGGCCGCGAGCAGCACCACCGGCAGCAGCTGGACAGACGCTACCAGTCCATACGGCGCACCATCACCAATGAGAACCGCCTGTCCATGCACTCGGCCGATCCGTCAGCGACCCACGCGGCTCCCAATCAGCTCTACGGTCTTCCACATGGCAGTGGCCCAGCGGCTGGGTCAACGGCATCTGGCGCCGCCGGGGCAGCGGTGCCGCCCGCCTCGCTCAACCTGGCCATACATCCGGCGGTGCTGATGCTCTGCCGTCCGGACTTCTACTCGCTGCTGCACACCAACGAGGCGGCGCTGGCCATTTACAACCGGAACGCGGCGCTGAAGCACATGGTGATGCGCATTCGCCGCGATCCGCAGTGCTTCCAGCGCTATCAGTACAACAAGGATCTGGTGGCCCTGGTCAACACCTTTGCGCAGCTCAGCCGCGACCTGCCCTCCTGCTGGGAGACCAAGATCGATCAGTCCGGCAAGCAGTTCTTCATCGACCACCAGCACCGGAAGACCTCCTTCATGGATCCTCGCCTGCCAGTCGAGTGTCCGCGCGTTGTCCGCCATCGCCAGCAGCAGCAGCAGCAACAGCAGCAGCATCCGCATTCGCATCCGCATCCACATTCGCACCAGTATATGCAGCGAGAGGCGCAACCGGATCTCGTTGATGGCAATTGCCTGTCGGCCACCGCCGGCCACATCAACTCGAGCGGCTCCAGCAGCGCGTCGGCCTCGGTGTCGGGCGTACCGCCGCTGCCGCCACCTCGTCCATGTCGTGGCAGCGGCAACCAAGCAGCCGGCGCCAGCCAGCACAACTGCACCACGGCGGCGGCCATTGCCTGCGCACTGAGCCTCAGCGGCGCCGTCGGCGGCCCCAGCACCAGCTCCAGCTCCAGCTCCAGCGGCATCCCAGCAGCCGCGGGCCACGAAGATGTGCCCATAGCCTACAACGAAAAGGCAAGTTATAGCGACTTAATTGAACTAAGTCGATTCGATATATAGCTATCCCGTTTCTCCATTACTCCATCCCAAATCTAGCTATGCTATCTATATATCTCGCTCGTACTAATCAGAGCCAGAAATTATGCTCCGAGGGCTCTATGGCTATAAATTTATATACAATCTTAGTTCCATTCCCATTCCATTCCATTTAATCAGAGCTTGAGTTCCAACAGCTTTACGCACTGTGGAATCCAAATGTTTGCCCACTCTTGTATTCGTCTTAGTGCTATATGGATATACTTACTATATAGACTACTCATTATCTAAGCTCATTTTTATCTATTTATAAAATCCAATTTTTTACCAGTTTCAAGTCGAGTTAGGATACACATACATTCAGAGATTTAAGATAAATATAGATTTAATCATCATCTCGTACTCGGATATCGCTCATCAAATATTTCATCTAATATTTCATTGCTTTCAAGCTGAGCTCAGAACTTATTCCAAAATATTTCTAACTCTCGCATCTATCAATGGATTTTAGCAATTATATAGATTGTTAGTTTCACGAATTTATAGAATTCTCTAATGTTTGTACATTTTTCCACAAACTCAACCAATTTTTTCAAATCAACAAATAATCGTATTTGCCTGAAATAACTTTTATTGAAATATTTTTAATTTATCTAATGTCGTTCCCTTTCAATGGCAGGTTATTGCCTTTCTGCGACAGCCCAATATTTTGGAAATACTACGCGAACGTCAAGGCCAACACACCGTGTCTCGATCACTGCGCGAAAAAATAAACATCTTGAGAGTGGAGGGCGTGCCCGCTCTGGAGCGTCTGGGCCACGATCTACAACTGACCATATTGCTGAGGTAAGTGACCGTTATTAGAGTATATTACATACATAATATATAATATGGTGTGCAGCCAATGCGGAGCTAAGAGAAAGGTCTCATAATAATACCTACAATCATAATATTATTGTACTAGATAGAACTATTTTACTCAGTGTCCTGTTTCACTCTCCACTTAAGAAACTTCGCTAAAGGCCCTCTACTTTATTTCATTCTCTACACTTCACTCTCCACACTTTACATTCCACTCTTCACTCTTTAAACTTCAATCTCTACACCACCCGTTCCCCTCTTGGGCTATCAAATATCTAATATTTACTTGTTATTCTGAGCTCTATATGCTCCATTCTCCATTGTCCACAGTCCAGTATACTCTTTGCACTTTGCACTCCCCATTCTGTACTCTTGAATCTCCATTCTGGTGTCTTTAATTCTCTATTCTCCCATTTCAACTCTTCAAGATCCAAAAGATATAACAAGAACTTTTATTAGTTGGGGAGACTTTCATATTGTAAGTACATATATTGTACAACATATATATACTTAAAAAATTTATATAATTGATTCAGAAAAGAAAATGGAGCTTAGAAAATATAAGCTCTAAAAAGTCTTTTTCGTGTCTGTAGATCCCTTTCTACAATAATTTACGATATATTCTTTTTCATTATTTGATCCCTTTCTATCGTTCGTTATTCATTAGATCAGTAGATATAATCTATGATACGCGGCTCTATGATACGCGGTTTGTTCAGCAACAGTTAATGGATTAATTAGAGGGCATTCGTGCATCTGGTGCCACTGTGCAGCGGTTGGAGCCACAGTCAGTGGCCGAGTCAAAGAGCCAACGGCTGCACTTGGCAAAGGCTTTGGCACCGATTCCATGGCTGCGTCATCGGCTGGATTGATCGCTGCTGCAATGGTGGTCAATGCTGATGGTGGTGTTGGTGGTGTTGGTGGTGTTGGTCGTCCTGCTTCAGTGCATTCGCCATCATCATTCATCGTCGTCGTAGACGATGTGTGTTAATTGCATTTGAAAATCGCCGCGAAGGTTATTCACGTATTTTCCAAAACACTTTTAATAGCAATTACAACAACAACAACAATAACAATAACTCTAGTATTAACAACAAGGTTAACAAACTATTTCCAAAGCAAGCAACAAATTGAGCGTATTTACCTCGTCAGCACCGACTCCTTAGGCATTAGCCAGCAGTTCACATTTATTGACTAATTGCCAATATTTCTTTCTTCAAATTGTTGAGTCAACCACAAGTATTGAGGAACTATTCACATGCATTTCGCATGACCTTAATATAAACAACTTGTTAAGAGATTAAGCCACAGATTATCCGGCATTAGCCAAGACAGCGTCAAGCGGCTGTCCCACTAATCGGAGCTGTGCGAGAGATAATTGCATTCAATTAGACAAATTAATCCGCTCCATTGCATCCCAATAACTGGGTGACCGAATCCATATTGGCATTGCCATGGCGTGGGAGTGCGGGTAGGCCAACAACTCACTCGACTATATATATGCTATATGATAAGCTGATCTGTCCACTCACATGGGACGCCTCTACACACTCAGAAAATGATTCGCAACGACTGTGATCACGATATGAATAAATGCAATATAAACCAATTCTAACAAGATCTAACCCAACTGAATTAGCGATTAATTTTGGAAGTAACAGGGTGCTGCATAGTCTATAATACAAACTACCTTTCACTTTAAGCTCTGTTTTTACAATTCGAAAGTGAAGTTATTCCATATGGATAAGTGACTCTGATGAAAAATGAGATCGTTTGTGAGAAAGAGACAGAAAAAGAGATAAAGAGAAAAAGGCATTGATACCAAAGTGTTATCGAAATATCTTCCTTCTCTTATAAAAGATCGAGTCCCTTTCGAAGACTTATTAGATATACTCGTATAAGGTAAACTATTCATATTGTTTATACAAGTTTTTATAATAGGCAACAAAAAAGAGCCAAGCTAAAGTGATCAACTTACTCTGATTCCATTTAAAAACTCCTCGAGAATTTCAACTGAAAATATTTCATATTGAATATAAGACATTGTATTTCTGGAGTAAGATATAAACAATTTGAAATTCTTCTGGCTTTGGCATGGCTCATAGAAATGTTAGAAATTTCGACTCTTGCTTACTCAGGCGTATCTGGGACTTTTAGCTATTTTATTCACTTCAGCTAGTGGTTGAATTTGAAGCGTAGGCTAATACCTAAAAATAGTTAATAGTTAGCTAAATTCAGTCAAGCTCCCTCTCTCTCTCTCTCTCTCTCTGCCCATCTGAGCTTTTATTTGTATTTCTCTAGGTCTACTGTTATATCTCCTTGTATTCCACTTTCGTTTTATTTCATCCTATTTACTGACTCTTTGTCTATGTGCGTATCTCTCTTTCTCTATTTGCATTTCTCTCTTTCTATTCACTTTTTTTGTATCATTCTCTCTGTCTGTGTGTCTATTTTATCTCTCGCTCTCTCTTACTCTCTCTCTCTCTGTCTTACTCTCTCTCTCTTACTCTCTCTCTCTTACTCTCTCTCTCTCTCTCTTACTCTCTCTCTCTCTCTCTTACTCTCTCTCTCTCTCTTACTCTCTCTCTCTCTC